GGAAAAGTCTTTCCACCTTTTTTTTTTTTAAGTTTATATTTATAACCTTTTTTCTTCCTCAAATGATTTCATACCTGCTGTTAAGAGAGCAGATTTAACAGTCTTCATTACTGAGAATAATGTCAAACTATTTGCAATTTTGAGATTTTACAAAAATTACTGGAGTATTTTTACAAATTACATTTTTATTTTAAAAAAGCAATTATGCCTGTCTTTCCAATGAGCAAAAAGCTTACCGCTATTATGTCCAAAAGAAATGATTCAGCACTACTGATATGTTAACATTACCACATTAACTGATAGAATAATTTCACTTGAACTATTTCAGCCTGGTCATTTAACTTAGAGTGTATATGAAATAAATGATCAATGGTAGTGATTAATGACTGCCCTACATTAATGACTGCTGAAGCAAATCAAATTAGCGGTACTTAGAATCAAAATATCTACTAAAGAATACATGCTCTTTAAAATTTTTAATTTGCCTAAGAACGTCAATCTTAGATTCAACTAAAAGAAATTAAATGTTAAGACTAGCATTGATGTCTCTTATTAAATCTGACAACAGAAACTTTTCTTCCTGTGTAACACCAATGACTATTTCAAAGTAACTAACATCCCACAGAAACAAGAAAATGCAGAAATAGGAAGATACACTCTACATGTCAGAGAAAGAAATGACTTTTTTAAAAAGTGCAAAAGTAAGTACAGATTAAATGCCATTTGGCAGTCACTTCAATGTTACAAATTTCTTTTTTCTTCTTAACATTATTAGATATTCTGTCATAATAGTTCAGTCCAACTATTAAGACCATGTATCACTTCCAGGTGGAAGTGCTGCTAGAGCTGCCAAGAAGGCAACCAAGAACTGAAGGCTCAAGTTGACAAGAGTCTCTGGGCTCTGCTATGATTTGGGACTGAGAGCTAACCAAACATTTTTTCCTCTGGAGATGTTAGCCTAGGGAACCATTACAGAAAGACACAGTGCAAGGACATAAATAGTAAGTTTCTGAGGCAAAGTAGATTTTCAGAGAGGAAAAAAGATACATCCCCAGGTGGGTATTTCTGTTCTCCTTAAACACAGAGGTGCAACAAAGGTGATGAAGAGGTGGACTAAATGCTACCTACCATCGCTTCTCGGCCTTTTGGCTAAGATCAAGTGTAAATGCTACCTACCTATTAAAGGTTTGCAAAAGCACTGACTCAGGCAACCAATAAAAAGAGAGAAAACAATGGGACAATGAAGAGGATCAATAAAATAAAAAACTGACTTTTTTTTTTTTTAAAAGACAACAAAATAAGACAATCACAGGGAAAACTTTTTTTTTAAACAAGGAGAGGACAATTACATATCAACAGACCACGAAGCCAAGAACAAAAGCCTAGGGATTAGTGAAGTAACAATATGAAAGAAACTTGGCTCAGTGAATAACCTTAGGAAGCAGATTGATACCACTTTCTTATCAGTAGGACTTTTCCTATGAGAGAAAAAGAAACAAATAAACAAACAAAATCTTCTCATCTATTTATGCCACTATGTTCTGCATTTTGTTATGGCAGTTTTCTCAGCCTTCACCTTATGATATATACACCTGTACTATGAAAAAGTCACCACAGAGATTTCCATTTAACTGACTATCTTAATCAAAGCAAAAAATGAAGCCAGATTCCTACCAAATACAATTCACAAAAATAAGTTTCTAACAGAGATAAACATAAAAAGCAAAATGTTTTAAAATTTCAGAAGAAAATATAATACCTTTATGAACTCTGAGTATGTAAGAATTTTTAAATTAAGACACAAGGAAACTGAGTATGAAAGAAAAAACTGATAAATTCTACTACAAAATTTCTTTATAATAAACTATCACAGCAACAGTTGAAAAGCTAAAAACTGTTATTAGGAATTTCTTTCAAGACTTACAGCAATCAACACTGAAGATGTCCAGAAGAGCAAAGGAAAATTTGGAATGTATAAAGAATGGGATCATACAAATGATTTTTGTCTAAGATGCAACAGGAATTTGTGGCCATATTAAAACTCTATATATTAAGAATATTTATTAATCTGCAACAATATATACTGGGAACTAGTGGCAGGGGTACGGGGGAGGGAAAAAGGATTGTAAATCTAACTATTGGGTACTGTGCTCACTATCTGGATGACAGGATCACTTGTATTGCAAACCTCAATATCATACCATATATCCATGTAACAAACCTGCACATGTAACTCAACATCATACCATATACCCATGTAACAAACCTGCACATGTAGGTAGGTAGGTAGAGAGGTAGGTACGTAGGTAGGTAGATAGGTAGGAAGGTAGGTAGGAAGATCTATCAATCTATCGAACAAGACAGGACAACATAAAGACTGGGAAAAGATACCAGCAAAACAAATAACCAAAAGACAACCAGTAACTGTAAAACACACACACTGTTTTTTTGGTTTTGAGACAAGGTCTTGCTCTGCCACCAAACTAGACTGCAGTAGAATGATCATAGCTCACTGCAGCCTCAAACTCCTGGGCCCCACAAGCAACCCTCCTGCCTCAGCCTCCCAAATAGCTAAGATTTACAGAGGGTACCGCCCCCAACAATTTTTTAAAACTACAAAATCAGTTAAATAATAAACTCAAATTTTTATCAAGCAAAACACACAAATACGCATTTCACAGAATTTCACAAAACAGAAACACCCACGGCCATAAAGGTGGGAAAAAAAGATGTGAGACCTCATTCATAATCAGGCAAAGACTAAGATCAGAGAAGATACAACACACCACATTGTTAAAAATTAAGAAATTAAATACTTAGCCAAGTGCTGGCAGGGATCTGAAACAGCAAGAACTAGTATGGACTACTGGTGAGAACATAAATAGGAACAATACATTGGAAAATAATCTAGTACTGTCTCGTGAAGTTTACTTTACACACTAGCAATACATTCCTATACCTTTAGATATATACTCTCAAAAACACTTGCATAAATGCACCAGGAAACAAGTAGAAAAAAGTTCACAGCGGTATTGTTCTTAAAGACAAAATCTTATTTTTTTATTTTTTATTTTTTGAGATGGAGTCTCATTCTGTCACCCAGGCTGGAGTGCAATGGGGCTGTCTCAGCTCCCTGCAACCTCTGCCTCCCAGGTTCGAGCAATTCTCCTGCATCAGCCTCTCAAGTAGCTGAGACTACAGGCACCCTCCATCACACCCAGCTAATTTTTGTATTTTTAATAGAGACAGGATTTCACTATGTTAGCCAAGCTGGTCTCGAACTCCTACCCTCGTGATCTGCCCTCCTTGGCCTCCCAAAGGGCTGAGATTACAGATGTGACCCACCATGCCCAGCCAAAGTCAAAATCTTTAAATATTGCAATGTCCATCAACCTGTATTTCCAGTAAAAGAGATAAAATGGGTATTTCCACAAAAAAGTATACCACAATGATTAGTATATAACTACTCACAAAAATGTGGCTATTTATTAGAATCATTACTGAATGAAAACACAAGACACAGAAAACATTATATGGGCATACCATTTCCATAACTTAAAAAAAAGAAAAAAGCCCTAAATATATTTTTGTCATTTACATGAAAAATCCATATTGAAAAATTAAGGCAAAAGTTGTGGTAGTCACCTACCCATGACAGGGTAAAAAGAGAGATTAAAAAGCAATATTGTTGCACATGGAATACACAACAATATTGGTTAACATTCAAGTTTTTTATTTGAGTAGCAGGTTCATGATGTTTGTTTTCTTGTATTTCATAACATTCTCACAAATAAACTGATGAATATAACAAAGAAGATTCTAGGGAGAAAACTATAAGGATAAAGTGATCAGGTATTTTATCATCTCAAATGGGATACATTTGTGGAAGGTCTATTACGCCTGAAAACAGATATAAACCATGACAGTAAGGAATCTGAGTAAGAAAGAATAACAATCAGAAAATTTAAATATGACACTTAAGTAAAACTAGGCATGTTATAAAATTCATCTTTATCAAAATGTAATAGGTACAAAGGCTTTACTAGCAAGTAAAAATAGTAAAAGAATGATCAAACCACAATCGAAATGGTAGATTAAGATGATCACATTAACTATTTTTTAAACAATGTACACAAAAAAATAAGATGAGGATAATTTAAATAACTTAAGACATTACACGGATAGCCAATATTATTACCTACAAAAAAGATAAGATGCTCTTTTAAACACTTTGCAATGACTTTTAATATTTACTGGAACATGGCACACTAAATAACACTTCCTATAAACAAAGCTATCCCTAAGTTATGGTTGTTTTGCTAGCTAATTTTCTCTGATCAAGCTATGAGACCTGGAGAGCTAGTATTCTGGTCCTCTTTTCTATGTAATAAGACATTTTTTAAAATAATATTTATTGCATATTTTAATACAGGCATATACACAATCAGAGGAATCATGGACTATAATCTTTCTGCACAGATAACCCCATTGACATTTTTTACATTAAAAAAATGCAACTATTAACTTGAGAAAATATTTAACAACCCAGAAAATATAAAGATGTTCTCGTTTACTTTCATTTATTCTGAATTTTCATACAATTATTTTCCTCAAACTTACATATATACGTTATTAACATTCATACAAAAACAACACACCATACAAGCTGCTTAGCATTGTTCTCTTTTCATTTAATAAAATAGCTTAGAAATTTTAGGAATGATCACGGCAATACACTGGAAAATAAATGTTATTAAAATCTTTGCTTTCGAATCCTCCTGCCATCGCCACCATCCTGGCCTCGGGGGTGGCGGCCTCCAGGACCCAGCGAGGAGGACTCCCAAGGTTACTAAACCCTCGCTGGCGGTGATGGTTTCTTACGAGGGGGGACGTGGCTGAGCACCGACTTTGGAAGCCGGTGCCGACTGGCCTCTGCGATTCGCAGAGGAACGTGATCGGCGGGAGTGAGGACGACCGGGCCTCTGCTGACTCCAGACGTCCAATGTCTAGTGGTAATCTGTGAAAATGGTTCGCTATTCACTTGATCCGGAGAACCCCACAAAGTCATGCAAATCAAGAGGTTCCAATCTTCGTGTTCACTTTAAGAACACACGTGAAACTGCTCAGGCCATCAAGTGTATGCATATACGAAAAGCCACAAAGTATCTGAAAGATGTCACTTTACAGAAACAGTGCGTACCATTCCGACGTTACAGTGGTGGAGTTGGCAGGTGTACCCAGGCACAGCAATGGGGCTGGACACAAGGTCGGTGGCCCAAAAAGAGTGCTGAATTTTTGCCGCACATGCTTAAAAATGCAGAGAGTAATGCTGAACTTAAGGGTTTAGATGTAGATTCTCTGGTCATTGAGCACATCCAAGTGAACAAAGCACCCAAGATGCCCCGCCAGACCTACAGAGCTCATGGTCGAATTAACCCATACATGAGTTCTCCCTGCCACATTGTGATGTTCCTTATTGAAAAGGAACAGATTGTTCCTAAACCAGAAGAGGAGGCTGCCCAGAAGAAGATATCCCAGAAGAAACCGAAGAAACAAAAACTTACGGCACGGGAGTAAATTCACCCTTAAAATAAATGCAACTAAAAGGAAAAAAAAAAAATCTTTGCTTTCGTGACAATACTAACAGCAACAAAAAGGAACTCATATTGGTTATACTGGAGGTTGTTTGTTAGGGTACTAACTCATCAGAAAACTTAGAAAGTTAAAATCTCTCCTGCTTTTCTTATAAAAAAAGGGTACTTAAGTATGACCAAATAGTTGATGGATAAAAGTCTTAAGAATTCTAATATCATGAAAAAAAGAAAAGCACCACTTTTGCAATACCCAATATAATTATGCAATCACTAGCTACTAAAAACTATCAGAAGAAAGGATGAGGCACTCTGTAACAGATGCATCAAGCTGACACCTGAACCTACTGATAAATGTTAACATCATGAAGAGGTAAGGAGACATTCTGATCCTCTTAGTGAGATACAATAGGAATTACACAAAGTATATCTGCAAAATATTCTGGATAAAAATTAAAACCAAAATCTGATCAACCCCATGTATTTCAGGTAAACTTGTCTACATAAGGAACATATGAAATGACAACATGGAGGTATAATCAGCAGAATCCAGAAAGTGGAAATACATATGACTCAGTTTAACAACAATAGAGAAAAGGCAAGAAAAAAAAAGTATTCCGAATACTGGAAATTAGGCGACATTAAGAAATTATTTTAAATTTTACAATGGTACCAATGTTACACTTAAAAGAGAAATTCTATCTGCTAGAGACACATTCTAACATATCTGAGGATGATATGATATGCAATTTGCATTAGTATTCTCCAAAAGAAAAAAATACATATACTATTCCCTCTATTTTTGTATAGCTTAAAACCTTTATAATAAAGTTTACAAAAAAGAAAAAACAGAATTCTAAAAGTTAAAAAAAAAAAAATTGCCAAAGCTATGATCACCTTTAAACTCAAATCCATTTTAAAACAAGAAAAGAAAGAAGCTGAGGATCAACTTAAAGTGAATCCCCCCCGACCCCCAACAAAAAATTAAATAAGTAAAAACGTTGCTTCTTTGAAAAGATCAGTAAAATAAATTCTATGACAAATCAAGAAACAGGAGAAAACATAGGTATAATTGATATTAGTGATAAAAGCGAGAATTTGAAAATGCTATAAAATTCTGAGAAATTTTAAGCTCTCAATAAAACAATTTTCTAGAAAAGTATAGTTTTAGAAAAATTGAACTATTTGTCAAAGTATGACTGTTCCCTCACTCCTTACATATGAGCTGGTTAAAATCCTTCTAACATTATTTTCTGCATTAAGCATGTCTCTTAGAGAAAATATCATGAGGAAGTGGAAAATTATTCAAAGAAATGTTATAGTTCTCTGCCTTTCCCCTCAAAATAATATCACCATTTTATTTTGATAATGCAAATATAATGTTCTCCCAATTAACTACTAAATTAATGCAAGTATAAATAAGACCCAAAAAGTCTTGACAAAACTTAACCAAATGATCTTAAAACACATACAGTAAAGAAAACACCAAGACAATTTCGAAAAAGTTTTGACACTCCCTGTACAAGATTCCAAGATTTACGCTGATGCTATAGTAATTAAGACACTGTTGTACTGCTACAACACATAGCACAGAAACAGTTCTGTGAATACATGGAAACTTGAAGAGCTGAGAATGCAGATCATTGGAGAAAAGCTGAATAATCAAGTGAGTACTAAACTTGCTATCCATATTGAAAAAATAATTAAACCTGTACCTTTTGCTACACAAAAAATAAATTGCAGGTAGATTATAGCCCTAAATGTGAAATAAACTTTCAAAATAAAATCCACAAGCCCATATGTAAGGCCTTAGGTTGAATATTTTTAAAAAAGAAAAACATAAATGTTACATTAGAATTTACAACTTCTATTCATCAGTGTAAAAAGAAAACAGGTCAGAGAGAAGGAGGAGTTATCTGCAGGACATATAACAAAACAGGCCAAGCACAGTGACTCATGCCTGTAATCCCAGCATTTTAGGAGATCAGTTTGAGAGAACTGTTTGAGCCTAGGCATTCACAATCAACCTGGGTAATAGAGTGAGACTTCATCTCTACAAAAAACTGGAAAATTTGCTGGGCGCAGTGGCTCATGCCTGTAATCCCAACACTTTGGGAGGCTGAGGCAGGCGGATCACCTGAGGTCAGGAGTTCAAGATCAGCCTGACCAACATGGAGAAACCCTGTCTCTACTAAAAATACAAAATTAGCCAGGCATGGTGGTGCATGCCTATAATCCTGGCTACTCGGGAGGCTGAGGCAGGAGAATCCCTTGAACCTGGGAGGGGGAAGTCGCGGTGAACTGAGATCACGCCACTGCACTCCAGTCTGGGCAACAAGAGCAAAACTTTGTCTCAAAAAATAATAATAATAAAGCATTAATAGGGAATACAAAAGCCACAAGATATCCTTCCCATATACATTTGACTGGCAACAATTAAAAAGTCCAACAATCCCAATTTTCAAAGAATGTATAGAAACAAGAATCTACATCCAGCACTAACAGTATAATTGGTATAATCGCCTATGAAAGCACTATGTTAATATTCAATCAATTTAAAAACATACACAATCTATGAGAAACTCTAATATTAACATGATAGAACATGCATATGAATGCCAACAGCAGCAGTTTGTAATGAAAAAAAATTAAAATATCTGACAAATCAATCTTGTCAAATATTACTTCATTTGTCAACAAGATAATAATATATTCATATATAATATACTACATGGCAATGAAAATTAGAGATATGTATATAAACTTAGAAAACAAAAATAACACTGAAAAAAGCAAGGTACAGAATACATACAGCATCACAGTAATCCATAGTTTAAACGTGCAAAACAAAACCATATATTGCTTAAGATAAAAATACATAAACATATAGTAAAAGAGAAATTTATGGGAATAGTAAACATCAAATTAAGGATAGTAATTACGTGGAGTGGAAATACAGGTCAACTACATGCAGAGTATTATGAACCGAATGCTTATGTTTCCCCCAAAGTCACATGCTGAAACCCTAACCCCAAAATGTGATGCAGTTTAGAAATAGGGCCTTTGGGAGTTAACTGGGGGATTTCATGAGATCAGAAAGTAGGGCCTTCATGATGGGGTTAATGCCTTTATGAGAAGAAACACCATACAGCTTGTGCCACCCACTCCCCCTAAGTGTGCTCACAAAGAAAAGATCATGTGAAGCACACAAAGTAAAACGGTGGCTTCACTTCAAAAGAAGTGGCCTCTGAAGGAAAACTGCCTTGCTGATACCTTGATCTTGGACTTCCCAGTTTCCAAAACTGTGAGAAAATAAATTTCTGTTTTTTAAGTCACTCGGTCTATGGTATTTTCTTATGGAAACCTGAGTTATGACACAGGGGGCCTCAAATGAACTTTCATGTACCACAATGGAATGCTATGCAACCCTAAAAGGGGAGGAAATCTTGTCACATGCTACAACACAAATGGACCTTGAGGATATTATATTAAGTGAAAATAAGCCAGTCACAAAAGGACAAACACAATCTGAGCATTCCTAATCTGAAAATCTAAAATCCAAAATGTTCCAATAAGTACCTCCTTTGAACATCACATAAGTGCTAAAAAGTTTCAGATTTTGTAGCATTCAGACTCTGGATTTTCAGATTAGGGATTCTTAATCTATATTGTATAATTCACCCTACGTGATGTATTTAAAGTACTCAAATTCATAGACACATTTTCTTATCACTGTACATTTGTTATTTCTGTGCTGGTTATCAGGGAAAAGGGAAAGGATAAAAGGGGAGTTTTAAAATGGGTATAGGGTTTCAGTTCTCCAAAATGAAAAACGTTCTGGAGATGGGTTTCACAACAATGTATTATTATTATTAAGTACATATAAGAATACATAAACTGTTCAAGTGTACACTTAGAAATGGTTAAGATGGTAAATTTTATGGTTTTTTAAACCACAAAAAGATTATCATATGCAAACTTTTTTAAAGAAACAAGAAAAAGAATGTTTAACCAATCAAGCAATATTAATAACTTAATCATAAAATACTTAAAAAGTGGAATATAGAGAAAATAAATAGAAAACAATTATTAAAAAATGAAAGGAATTATGAAAACTTAATCCCATCAACCTGAAGAAAACTACCCTATTTTGGCATACTGCCCTCCAGCTTTTGGGGACACATATAAATTGTATGTATTTGTCAAAGTTAGTTGTTTTTTTTTTTTTTTTTTTTTTTTGAGACGGAGTTTCGCTCTCGTTACCCAGGCTGGAGTGCAATGGCGCGACCTCGGCTCACCGCAACCTCCGCCTCCTGGGGTCAGGCAATTCTCCTGCCTCAGCCTCCTGAGTAGCTGGGATTACAGGTACGCATCACCGTGCCCAGCTAATTTTTTGTATTTTTAGTAGAGATGGGGTTTCACCATGTTGACCAGGATGGTCTCGATCTCTTGACTTCGTGATCCACCCGCCCCGGCCTCCCAAAGTGCTGGGATTACAGGCGTGAGCCACCGCGCCCGGCCTCAAAGTTAGTTTTAATCCTACTTTTCACATATACAAAAAAATTTAGAAAACACCATTTGTAATATTTATGAACAGAATTTATCCATTTTCTTATCACTGTACATTTTTTAGTTCTACTATTTAAATAATGCTATAATCAGCATATAAAAAATACACTTATCTAATCATTTTTACTTATGAATTACTAGACATAAAATACTGGGAAAAGAATATGAAACAAAGCATTCTTTATTCTAAAGTATCTTAAGACCCACTGCTAAACAACAATCTCAAAATGAGTACTTCACTTCATAAACATATTTTTAAAACCTGCTAACAATTCAAAATCAAACCAGACAATTTGCAAACACACAAAGCTATAAAAAGCTTCACTGTGCATTTATTATACTATTATAAGACATTATATATGGTAATTTAAATATTTCTTAAATACTGCTACTACATAAAAAGTGTCCACTTCAGCCTAGACTTTTTAAAGAGGTATTTTGGTATTTAAACCCACATATA